TCTTTCCCTCCCAGTCTCGTCCTACCCACAGACCTGTTGAACCCCTGGTGCCAGACCCCTGCCTTTCTGTATCAAGTTTGCCTGGCTGGTGCTGTCCTCGTGCGTGCCTGCTGTGGTTGGGAACTGTGGGAGCCGAGCTCCTGGCATTTCGGCCGACAGGTTGAGTCCTGTTCTTCCTCTCACGTCCAGGATGCCTGCTGCTCTGAACAAAGCCGCTCCCTCAGGAGTTCTAAGAGCTGGCCTTTATTTTGTTTTGTTTTTAAAGCGCTTGTTATTTAATAAAGGGCTAGGCTCAGCTAGTTGAATTAAAAACAACACCAACAATAACAGCAAAAAACAAAACAAAACAAACAAACAAAAAAAACCCTGCTTTGCTCAGTTTCCACCCTCTTCCTGAATGGAATAAAATGGAAACTGCTTGACCCAGGCCTGGCATTTGGCTAAAACAGACCTTCCCTGCTGCTGAGTGGTACGGTGAGAAGGGTTTTGAGCAGGGAGAGACCCCCAGTGTGTGCTGGGTGTGCAGAATGAAGGGTGGTCACAAGCATGGAACAAGCATCACCCAGAAGGGGAACCAGCTCAGAAAGCCACACTGGCTGTGTGCTGGCAGGCGAGGCATACCATTACTGCATGGAGGCTGCAATCTGGTTGTCTGGGTTCAAGTCCTGGCACTTCCACTTACCAGCTGTGTGACCTGTAGCATGTTAATTAATCTCTCTGTTTACTTCTTTGTAAAATGGAGATAATAGTACCCATCTCATAGGGCACTCAAAGGCATCAATATTGGATGAAGCATGTAAAACTCTTAGCATGTTAACTACCATGTGATCAGCGCTCAATAGACAGCAAGCTGTCACTCTGGTGCTGCTTTCTGGCATGAATGGGAATTCACACCTAGAAAGGACCCCTAGGAACACCCTTTCATAACCCAGGTAGGTGGGCACCTGAGGGTCAGAGCCTCTCAATCAGTCACCTCGGGGCCAAGATTGGACCCAGCTCCCCACATGCACAGACCAGAAGGTCATTCTCTCTGCCTGTGACAGCACGTTCTTCACTATTCCATGAGTTCTACTGTGGCAGGAAGGGGGTTGAGGGGTGAGCACTGAGACTGGCATATATACACGATTTTCAGGAAGCGAGGGGCCCAGTGTGGTACTCAGAGCCAGTCTCATCCGTGTCAGCCTCTGGCCCTATCACAGGTCACTGTAGGACCCAGAGTGATTTGTAGGCCACAGCGCCCTCCTGACTTACTTCTTCTCCCTGTATCCCTGGAACAGGGAAAGGCATATGCAGGATGCACTTTCTCCACGACCCTTTGCTGCTCCTCACGCTGGCAGGCATGGAAGGGGCGTGCTCAGAGGAAAGGCTATGGCATGCGCTGTCAGTGGAGGCTGACCCCGAGGTCTGACAAATGATTTGGTCCTAGAACTGCATCTTTCCCAACCTCAACCAGGTTTCACATCCAGGTTTCCCAACTAGGTGATGCTCAGGCTAGGAGGTCGATTTTCTGGTTGCCACCCTGTGGCTGTAGTTTCCACCTGACCCTAGAACTGTTTGGGAAGGCAACCTGCCCAGGTAGCCTGATCTGGGGTATGGGGGTGGGGTCTGCAGACAGCCCCTGCTTGGGTGGTCCTGTTCCAGCAAGGACTAAAAAAGGCATTTAGGGGAGAAAATCTAGACCCTTCTTGAATGCTCACAGTGCTCTAGGATGCTGAGACCTAGAGGCTGGCACCTCCGCCGGGGGATCAACACGTAAATAACAGTCGACACTCAGAACTGAGTTTCCTGGGTAAGCCTGCAAGGACCGTTCCCAGTCCTCTGGGCCCCAAGGTTGGAGGATATAAATATCATTTTTTTCTATAAGAGGGGCTCCTGCCTACCACGGATAACCGGAAGGGAGTCAACACCAGAGGCAGGACGGTTCATGCTGCAAGTCGGCCTCTGCCGCAAGATATGATGGGTGTGGCTGTGGATGGGTGCTGGGGGAAGTGGCCTGTTCTGAGCAGTTTCTGCTTCTCTGGCACTGGCTTGTTGGCTTGTTGCACTATCAGTTCCCTGGTATGGTTTCCCATATGCAGAAAAAAAAATACTTGTCATCTACAGAGTGGAAAACGCTCAGTGTTCTTACTGGTGTGCTTCTGCTCCCAGACATCAACCTTACAGGTTTGGGGGTGGGGGTGGGGGGATGGGGAATGAGCATTTTCTCATCACATTCATCACATATGCAGTTTCACAGTTGGAGGTGGCTCAGAGGTGTGGTCTTGCCAGGAGACAGGGGAATGGGTGCGAGTCATTATGTGACCTTCCCTGTGACCTTGGGAAAGCTCCTATTTAAGAATCCTCCTCTCTCTTTCAAGCTACAAGTCCTCCCCCAGCCCCCCAATCTCTCCAAATACTGAGATTCAGGACATAAACCAAGCTTTTAGGCTAAGCTCTTCTGAGGGAGAGCCTGAGAACAGGGCGTTATTTTCTTCTTGAACAATTTTATGTTGCTTTATTATTGTTCCTGCTGTTTTAAAATGTTAGTGGTTTTAATTAATGCCATTTTATTGTCCCTGTTCTCTCTAGCTCTTCTCCTGAAGGGCACAGTTTTAGAAATCTAATAACTGAATAAGTGGCTAGTGTGAAGAATAATGCATTAACATTTATAGAGGTTCTCAGATGAAAGGCACCGTGCTGTAGGAAGCTCATTTCAGATTTAAGAAAAGAGCAATGTTACATTAAGATTTTTGCAAAAATAATCAATACTTCATTTCTTTCAAGTGGCTGGGGAAGTTTATATAACTATAATAATGCACAACTTTCCCAAGATAACATCTTTATTTAAAATTGACTGCCGAATTCTTTGTAAAAAAAAAATGACCATTTATGCCTCAACAGATTGTCAAGTCTGTAACACGTATCACACTGGCAGAAATTAACGGCTGATTTACACAGTCGTGGACAATGCAAACACCAGCCAGGACTGGTGCTGGTCGAGCTTTGTCTGATCTGGTATCAAGACTCAGTGATAAGAGTTCTTTAATAGGCCTCCGATTTACAGTTTTTTTCCCTATGCTACAATTCTGGAAAAGACACATTTCTGCATATTTTCTGTAAAATAACCACTTGAGCATACAAGTCCTTTCGGTGCTCAGGCAGGCTATATTTTGACTCCTGGCCCATGGCAGCCACGTGCCCAGGCCCGTCTATATAGCTGGGCCAACACGTGCAAGTCAGTTGGCTTCATGAGAAAGCATACTTGGAACTCAGTTTGCCCAAAGGCAAGGATGGAAACCCTTCCACCTGAATTCTGGTGCTTGGTGCTCGTGAAGAGTCTTGTTCTTACTTTCCATACTTCTGAAGGGAGAGGTGGAGATGAGGCTGGGTTGGATCAATGGGGGCAGGCATTGGGGGAATGGGGCAACCAAATATTTACATTCCACACCTCCAGGACCAGCCACTCCCAAAGCATGTCCCATGGGTGTCCCTAAAACACTTTCAAGGGGTCTACGAGGTCGAAACTATGTTCATAATAATACTAAGATGTTATTTGCCCTTTTCACTCATGCTTTGACCAATGTAGAGTGGAGTTACTGTCAACCTGATGTGTGACATCACAACGGGTTGATGAAAGCAGCAGATCTGAGAATCCAGCTGTCTTTCTGTGAAACCAGACGCACTAAAGAGATTTGCAAAAATATAAGACGGTGCCACTCTCTGCACTAATATTTTTGTTGTGGAAAATAAATATAGTTAAATTTCATAAGAATGTATTATTTCTGTTAACATATAATAGAGCCATTTTTGTTTTTTAAAATTAATAAATATTTCAAAGATTTCTTAATATTAATTTTTTTTAACATAGTAAGAAGTGATAGATGCAACCCACATACGCAATTAAATCTCTTTTGAATTAAAATCTTTCTCAGGAACTTGAAATGAGTGACAGATGAAAGCGTAGTTCCTCTAGGTTTTGGGGGGACATTCCTAGACCCCTTTTTCCAACCGCCTCTTCCCTTGGAGCACAGTTTGAAAGCTACTGACTCAGATGATCCTAAGGGCCCTTCAGCTCTATTCCAATAACTGAGGTCCATGGCGCAAGGACCGTCCTTACCTGCTCTGGCCAAGGTGGGGTTCACAAGCATTGCTGGTGGCTCCTGGGACAGACGGGCGAAGGCGGACACCTGGCTGGCGGTCAAAAACTGTCCTCCTGACGAAGGGCTGAGGGTTGAGGGCACACAGAGCCATTCCTTGTTGTGAGCCCACCCTCAGTCGTGGTCCTGAGCTGCTCCTCCAGCATCCTGTGGGATTCCCACGAGGGCCTCCAGTTTCATGTGGCAGAGATGGGGTGCGTGGCCGGGCTGTTGAGAATGGCGATTTAGCTTCAAACAGAGAGGAGGTAGCTGGGCAAAATAGGGAACACTTGTTCCCAGATGCTTTGGCTGCGGCTGCCGGACTGTCTTCAGAATCTCCTGTCTCCTTGGGGCCCTGAGGCGGGGATACTGGGGGTGATGGGGAGGGGCCAGAGGCAGGCGAACTTGCTTCTGCGTGCTGGGTAGGGGAGCTGGAGACCTTGCGCTGAGCCCGGGGGCTCTCTGGGAGAGGGCTGGGCAGCTCGTGCTGGGGTGGCGGGGAAGCTCCTTTCTTCACTGCTGCAGGACTCGCCAGGGGGCTGAGCGTTGGGCTGGGGGACCCAGGCACAGAGGGGCCAGCTGGCTGGTCAGGTTTGTGAGAGGAGGGCAGGCCTGGGTGCTTCTTGTCTGCTCTGGGTGCCCAGTGTGCCCTTGTGGGGGAGGCCTTCCTGACCAGTTGGGGGTTTCTCTCTGGGCTCTGCTTTGGGGTCTCAGGAGAATGTGTCCCTTGAGTTGGTCTGGGCATGCTGAGTTCCAAGGTTCTATTCTGTCTAGATGTGTGGCTGCCATGGTGCCAGGGGATTGCTTTCTGGGGCTGCTTGGAGAGGCTGGCGGCCCTGTTCGCTCGCGCCTGACTCTGAGCCCCGCCGCCCTCCACCTCTGGGTTTTTGCTGGTTGGCAGGTGGTTGAGGTCCAAGGCCAGTTTTCCAGGATCGCAGCCACTCTTGCTGCTCCCTGGCCCTGTGCTGTGGGGCCTGGTGGAGGTGGCACTGGTCCTGCTGGGCAGCAGGTCAGTGGGGCTCATGGAGGCTCTTAGCTTTGGGGAAGCCCACGTTCTCCGGGCAGGGCCAGCTCCTCCCAGCTCTGGCATGTGGGGCCTGCCGGGGCAGCTTCCTGCTGGCTTACTGCTTTCGGGGGGCTCCAGAGAAGTGAATGATTTGTCCATCAGGATTTCCAGAGGCGGTGGAGGGAGGTGCTCTGGGTCCTCCTCCACGTCACTGTTGAAATCCTCACTCTTGGATGCCTCTGCTGTCAGCAGAGGGGGAAAGGTAGTAGCTAAGGGCCTCCAGCCTGGGTCCCCCAGGGGAGATCCCCTGCCTGCTGCTGGAGAAATTCGGGGCTTTGGATACAAAGGAGCAAGCCCCCTATAAATGGGAAATCTGGGAGGCATGATGGGGACCCCCCACTTCCTGAGACAGGGGCTTGGCCCAAAGTCCTTGGACTCCCCCAGTGTCCTCAGACCCTCAGTGGGACTGAAAGTTTCAATGAGTTTCTTGACGGACATTCTGGTGGGATGGCCTCTGACGTCCCAGTCCGTGGCCTCGGGAGCCTTGCCGGCCTTCTCCTCTGACGAGATGGCGTTTGGAAGCCCCTCTGCTTTCTCCTGCCAGGGCTGTTCACCCTCAAGGCGGGGACTGCATTTCTGCAAAATGCTCTTGTCCTGACTTGGCAAAATGCTGAAGTTCTTGGTGAGGGATGCCTTCAGCTTGCTGATGGTGCTGCTCGGGGCGACCCTGCACTGGTTGTGCAGCCTCAGAGAGGCTGCTCTGGGCTGCAGAACCTGCTCCTGGCTCTGCCCCTGCCGATGTGCGCCCAGGGCGTAGAACACCTCCAGCCGCTGGCCGAGGTCTCTCTGGACCTTCTGCAGCTCCTGGAGGGTGGGCTCCTCCATGCGGCCCTTAAGACATGCCTCTGACTGGGACCTCCTCTGCCTCTCGGGGGTCCTTCTGCTGCCACTAACTGAGCTAGGTCTCGGTGGGACCACTGTCCTCTCTTCCTCCTCAGCCCAGTCCTGGTGTTGGGAGGGCACAGGGACAAACTTGATCCTTTCGCTGATTGCTTCCTTCATCTTCAGAATCATTTCCTGGGACTGGGAGCTCCTAAACCTTCTGGGGTGTGGCTGAAATGGGCTTTCCGGGCCAGCAGGTGAAGACCTCGGCCTTGGCTGGAAATCGTCTTCCTCTTCCTTCGAGCTGCTGTCCTCCCCTTCACTGAGGGATGGAATACTCGTCCACCTGGAGCCTTTAGAAAGATGTGCTTCCTCTGAGATCTCGGGCCCAAAGGAGTCACATGGACTGCTCTTGCCCCACCCCAGAGGCCTGGAGGTAGTATTTTCTGGGCCCGTGCTGCAGGGGCCTGGGCTCCCTGATCCTCCCTGTGGTGCTGGCTGAACTTTTGCCATTGGAGGCCTTGAGAGTGGGCAGTCTTGGGGTCTGTCTGAACCCATCCAAAATGGACTTTGCTGCCAAGTATGTCCCGACAGCCTGGCTTCCACCATGGGTGAAATTCCCTGCCTTGATTCTGCAGGCTCCGACCCTAAGTCCCAGCTGGCTTGCTTGCTCAGCTTGTCCACCAGGTGCACGGACTCACTGTCGGCACCAATGCCACTGTCCTCGGAGCACAAGGGTAGACCCTGCACCCTAATGTCACTGTGGCCACTTGCCAAGCTCTCCAGCTGCCCCAGAGCCCTTAGGAGGTGTTCATCCATACCCCTCTTCATGCTCAGCTTACTTCCCAAGTGGCTTGCGGTGGCTTGGAGGTAGCTGCTGGAGCCCTCCAGGAAGCTGCTAGTGACTGAGGCCACAGTGCCCCTGAGCGCCTGCAGCCTGCTGACCGTGTACTGCAGAAGCTGTTGCAGGAGATCTGGCTGCTCCCCAGCCTCTCCTTTCCTCAATGGCCCAGCCAGATCCTCCCTCACTTCCTGGAGGAGCACTTCCCCATCCTTGGAGATCTCCCCCAAGAGCTGGTTGACCTCATCAAAGCACAGCAGCAGGAAGCTGACCATGGGCTGCAGCAGCTCCTGGGTCTGGGTGGCCTGATGTGTGAGGCTCAGAATCGCTTCGAATTTGAAGAGGCAGGAGTGCAGATAGGCGTAAGCGTGCTGGTGGGCCTTCACCAGGGGCTCGGGAAAGTCCACTTTGCCTTCAGACCCCTGAGCAGGGAGGGTGGTTTGGCAGCAGTGGCCCTGTTTGCCTGACCTGTGGCATCTCGGCTTCCTTTCCCATTTGGAGGTCTCCTGGGTATTACTTTCTTCACTTTCTTCCCCAGAAAAGGCTGTCCCTTGTGACCCACAGGAGCTCTGTGTCTTGAATGGAATGTCCTTAGCCATGTGGCTTTGTGATTTGTTCAGCTGAGATGGGGTGGTTTTGGTTTCTGTGATCAGTCCTTCCAGATCTTTCCTTTTGCCTGCAGTGGGCTCTTTTGTGAGCTGACAGGGACCTTTAGTCATGGTTTGGGTCCATTTGGGACCTGGCTGTGCCTCTGCTGGCCTCTGCTCCTGGGACAAGCACCCCCCAGAGTCATAGCAGGTGGAGCCTTGAACCAGCAAAGGGATGGAATGTCTTTCACTGCTTCTCTGACCTTCTGGCAGAATCGCTTTGGGCTTTTTAAAAAACTGGATGCCACTCTTAGCCACGCTGTTAACAATGTCGCTGTGAGAAGGTGTACACCCCATGATTTCAGCTTAGTCATCTCTCGCCTGCAAACTTCATAATTTCCAGAGAATCCTATTTGAAATAGGAACAAAAGGCAGTCTTACTAGTCCATCCAGGAGATTTCCAAGGAGAATCCTTTGAAGTCCGTGGTGTCATGTTTTCAACTTGGAAATAGCTTTCTTCACTTCCCCGGCCCCACCATGTAGAGGTAGCAGAGCCTGTCGTCCTGTTGTTCTAAGTTTTGAAGCATCTGCTGTCTGTGAGCAGCAGGGCAGTTGTACAAGACCTCAGTCTCGTGGATTAGGGGCCTGCGTTTTGCTTGTGTCCTGACAGATGTGGATGGCAAGTGGCACTTTAAGCCTATTAGGTTAATCATGCCCTAGCCAGTCAGCACTCACAGTGTGTTCTAATATAGAACTTCTCAGCATTTACTATCTTGGGAAGCGGATTATTTTTGCACGTGCTTATGCTTTTAATTCTGTTCAGATGCCTGCCGTATGAAACCTAGAGAAATGAGCCATAATTGCAAAAGGCTCTGGAAGAGACACGTTTGTGGGAAAGAAGCAAGGGCTCACCGCTTATGGATCCTGGCAGAGAGATGACCTTCACTGTATAATAAGGGCAAACCAGCCAAGTGTGCTTTAACCTGCTATGATCAAGAAGACCCCCCCTAACACTCAATAGATGGTAATAGAAGCAATATACTCTTGTTTGTGTGGCTTAGAAAAAACACCACAACTCTAATGCTGGAGAACTTCTCTAAATAAGACAGTGAATAAAGAAGGCAAGGTGGCTTTCCTTTAAACAAGAAAAGTGAGTTAGATAGCAGGGAAGCCATCTCCCTGGTTTGGAGGCGGAAAGCAGAAAAACTCACTGCCACATAAATAAAGCTCAAGGCCAGTCACTATGGATCACAGAAGCTCAGGGAGGCAATGCTCTCACGGAAAGAGGTTACTTTATTAAAACTTTCTCAGGAATATAAGCTAAAACTGGGCAGTGGAGAGCCATTTGGTCATCAGGAGTAGAACTTAAGGGAAAATGTGCTTTCCTTTTCAAGCATAACTTCTACTCTGTCTGACGGTGTTGCTCTTGCCTGAGGCTATGTATGGGTAAGAGCTGCCCATCTAAAAACTCCTTTTAATCTTCTTTTGCTGTTAGTGAAGTTCAGAGCAAGCGCTTGGAGAAGAGAGATGAGGGTTTAAATCCTAACTCCTCCTTTCCATTGGGGGAACTTGCACAAGTTATTTAACTTCCTTGAGGCAGAGCTCATGTTCGACATGGGGTAAATGGTACCTACTTCATGGGGCTGTTGTGGGGATTAAGTCAATTAATGCTTAAGTGCTTGGCACGGTGCCTGGCGAGTGGTAGGTACTCAGAAAAAAAAATTAAAAAGGAATTTCTTGTTCCTTTCCCCCGGGCATCTGGGCCACTTATAATAATAAAAGTCATAAGGAAATTTATTAGTTTCTCCAGGACCAAGCCCTAGTCCTTTCCTGAGTTGCCTAAAAATAATTGCCTACTGGTGGGCTTGGAGCCTCTGGATCCAGGGTTTTTGCCATTCTGTCTGTGCAGAATGGCCCTCTGCTCAGTGCCTCATTCCTAAGGCCTCATTGTGTCAGTTCTCTGCTCTTAAACACACAATTCCCACTAACTGCAGGGGGAAGAGGAGCTTTCATTTAACCGTTTTCCTATTTTTGGACGTATAGCTTATTGACCATTTTTGAGTTGCCTAATAGAAAAAATATACCTTTGAGAATCTCCAGAAGTTGTTGAGATTGGAGTTGATATTTTGGCTTTATAGTTTTCATTTTTCTCTTACTGAACCCCATATAACTAGCAAAAATGACACCGTGGGTGTCGGAGTGGTTTCAGAACCAGAAAGGACTTAGAGATACCTCGTTTGCTGTGAGCAAGCTGGAGACTGGCTACTGGGGCTGTGCAAGAAGCCTGATGCCTATCACAGCCCTACGCCCCAGAGTGCATCATTAATAAAGTTCTCAGATTTGTTTATTTGAAGCAGAACTCATGGGAAACACAACGCTGACTCGCCTGGGGGCGAGCTGTGTTAAGCATCAAGAAGTTGTTTCATTTGTCACAGCGCTGGGCTGGCCCCGTAAACAAGAGCATGGTGAGTGAAGATTCTTTTCTCTTCCATTTAATAGAATGAAGGGTTCTTTATGTAAATTCTTCTCTGGGGACTTGGGCCCCTGCTGGAATCATCTTTATGAAAATCTTTGATCTAAGTGGCTAAAATTATTTCCAAACCAATGATCAAAACAAAAATATTCTCCCAGAAGTTCAGCTGTCAGATAGCTCTGTGCCTTGTAGACTGTTTTTCTTGGCTCTGCCAAATAATTTAGAAAGCTCTTTATACACTGCCACTCATTTTTCATTATGACTAACTTTATTTTTTCTTTCCTTTTAAACTAGGGCTGCCTCAAATGAAAAAAAAAAAAAAAAAGGAATTAAAAAAAAAAAAAAAAAAAAAAAAAAAAAAAAAAAAAAAAAAAAAAAAAAACAAAAACAAAAAAAAAAAAAAACATATGGGGACATTAATGATTTTTTCACATTACTTATTTCAACTGACATCCTTTTAAACTAGGGCTGCCTCAAATGAAAAAAAAAAAAAAAAAAAGGAATTACTTTGAGTGGGAATGTAAATTGACCGAACTGCTTTGGAAAATGGTTTGACAGTTAAACATATACACATCTCGTGATCCATCAATTCCATTCCTAAGAATTTACCCAAGAGAACTGACTCTGTAGGTCCACAAGAGGGACTGGTACAAGAATATTCATATTATAATAGCCTCAAACTGGAAATAATTCAAATGTCTGTCAACAGGAAAATAAGTAAATTTGGCACAATTGTACAATGGAATACTTCCCAGCAATAAAAGGAACAAATTATTGAAACGTGTAACAAAATAAATTTAAAAATTATTATGCTGAGTGAAAACAGGTAGACATAAAAGAGCACATACTGAACGATTCCACTTATATGAAGTCCAAGACTGTGCCAGACTAATCTCTAGTTATAGATCTCAGAAAAGTGGCCACCTCTGGGAAGAGTTACTAACTGGATATGGGCACGAGGATTTTCTTAGGATAATGGAAATGTTCTATATCTTGACCTGGGTAGTGGTTACATGGATATGTGTATATATAGGTAAAAATTCCTTGAGTTGTCACTTAAGTTGTGCACTTTATGTATGTTACACACACACACACAACACACACACACACACACACACACACACACACACACACACACACACTCCCCTTTAACTTAAATGCAGTGTTGTATGCTTTACTTTGTGCCTAGGAGAGTCCTAGCTCTAAGGCTCTGGGTCTTGGAAAAGGGTCGCTGTATTATTGTTTATTGTTATATAACAAATTACCCCCAAATTTAGCAGATTAAAACAGCAGACATTATCTCATCATGAGACATGTTTGCTGTGGGTTAAGGATTTGGGAGCAGCTCACTGGGTGGTCCTGGCTCAGGGTCTCTCGGGAAGTTGCAGTCAAGATGTGAGCCAGGGTTGCAGTCATCCGATGGCTTGCCTGGGGCTGGCTGATTCGCTTCCAAGGTAGTTCATTCACATGACGGTTGACAGAAGTCCTTGATTCTTTGCTGGGAGGCCTCAGTTCCTCATCACATGGACCTGTCCACAGGGCTGCTTGAGTGTCCTCACAACATGGCAGTTGGATTCTCCCAGAGTGAGCAGTCTAAGACAGAGCAAGGAGGAGGCCATTCTGTCCTAATCTTAGAAGCCATACACCTTTATTTTTTTTCCATTCTGTTCTTTAGAGGTCAGTCACTAGGTACAGTTCATACTCAAGGAAAGAAAAATTAGGCTCCACATTCAAAAGATCTCTAAAAAAAAAAAAAGAAAAAAGAAAAAAAAAGTCTGAATATACCACAGGTCAAACTATGACATCCAAAGCATAACTTTAGAGTAAACGTTAGTTTATTAAGGGCTCATCCTTTCCCTTTAGCATGTTAAATAAATTCCACGCCCCTTTTTTTTCATGTGGCCCTGAACTAATTGATCAGGCAAAGATGGGTCTAATGGGGCATCAACTCTGAGCCAAAGCTAGAGTTATTTAAGCAACGTGAAAAAATTGTCTTATCTCTCAAGTTCTATCAGCTTCACCAGTGAGCTCTCCCCAACCACAAAAGCTGAGAAGAATTTCCCATTATCCGAGGCCTAGGGCATCCCTGGTCAGATCCGAAGGGATGCTCCTTGCAATACAATTCCCTGGTCCAGATGTGAAATGAACAGGCAACAAGCAAGCAGCTACTGTAGTGAGCTGGCAGGAAGTGGGAGCTAGTATTTTTGTTCCAGTCACTGTGTTAGGCACTTTACATATATTTCACTACTTTATCTCCCCTGCTTTGCTGAGGAGAATCATTAATCATCATTAAAAAATAAATCTGGCTATCGTTATATACCTTAAAGCAATTCATCCAGAGTTGCTCATCACCTACATAGTTTCCTCTATTATTAACATCTTACATTAGTGTGATACATTTGATACAATTAATAAACCAATATAAATACATAATTAACTGGAGTCAATTATTTATTCAGATTTCCTTAGTTTTTATCTAATGTCATTTTTTTCTGTTTCAGGATCCTGTTCATAGTAACACATTACATTTAGTTGTCATAACTCCTTAGGCTCTTCTTGGCTATGACAGTTTCTCAGACTTGCCTTGCTTTCGATGACCTTGACAGTTTTGAGATGTGCTGGTCATGTTGTAGGATGTCCCTCCGTTGGGATTTGTCTGATGTGTTTCTCATGATTAGATTGGGGTTATGGGTTTTTGAAAGGAAGATCACAGAGGTAATGTACCATTTTTATTGTATCATATCAAGAGTACATACTATCAATGTGATTTATGATTGTCGAGGTTGACCTTGAAGCTGGCTGACATAGTGTGTGTCAGGTTGCTCAGCTGTAAAGTTATCCTCCTGTCTTTCTCTACTGTACTCCCTGGGAGCAGCCACACTCA